GTGAGGCTCCGCGCCGCGCTCCCCCAGCCGGGACGCTCCTCTGGCTCCGGGTGCCGCGGGGCGAACTGGGGTCTGCGGGCGGGCGGCGGCGGCGCAGCCCGAGCCGCCCGCGGGGGGACCCGGCCGCGCGTGGGCGAGGGGCGGCGGAGGACGGGGAGCTCGGAGCCGCCCTGGACCCCGCGCCCAGGGACCGTCCGGCAGAGCTCCGGCGGCAGCGGCCCCGTGTGACCCGCTCCCCTCCCGCCCCGCCGCCGGGGCTCACTCGCCGTGCGGCGGGTCTGCCGCGGCCAGTTCGCCTGTGCGGGAACCCGGCGCCCGGGTTCACTTGCACAAAGACAGATGCTGGCGTCTCATTAAACTCGTTATGTCCTGTTTTCCGATCTGAAGTAATAAGCTTTATATGGTAATACTGTTATGCTGTTAATGCATCGCTGTTTTAGTTGACTGGGCGATGTCAGGCGTTGATTGGATGTGGCTTATCAGTTTCACGATACTGTTTCATCCAGGGCGTGATGATTTTTCTCTGGGTTCCGTAAAGTGATCAGAATATGCTGGTCGTAATATTTTGTTATTCAGTGTAATTCGCTCAGCTTTCCTTGCTTTAGTTGGACTAATTCAGTTGGAGGTTCTTCAAAAAGTTTATCATTTAGTCTTTTAATAACTGCTCAGTACAGTGATTGAGTGCAGGCCTAGTGGTACAGAATTTCAACTTTTGCAGAAGTGTAATTCAGTAAGTTCCCTTTATGCATGTTTTTCTTCTGAGCTTCATAATAGTTATTTTTAAAATCCCTGTTAAACTTGGAATCGAATGTTGAAGAAGTAGTAAAGAATGATGCATAAAGCAACCTATCAAGCTCTTGACTAAGGAAAAGAAATGTGTGGTCGGGCTCTTAAAAGAATCACACATTGAAACAAACTCACATTCAGAGGCAGTAAATAATTTCCCAAGTTCTGTTATGATTTAAGGAAAATCATAACTAATTCAAACTTACTATGCTAGCAGTAAGTGTCTTTGTCTGTCAGCAGTTTTTATATTGTCTTTCCTTAATGTATGTTCTATTGATTCTGAATGAAGATACTGAGTCCAGGTTTTGTTAGAGTGCCCCTGTTTGATAGCTTGGAAATTCAGTGTGAATACTGATACATTTAGTACCCTTTTGTCATAGCTGCCTTGCTGCTGAAGAGGCAGCCATGCTGCTTTTTACAGCTGTTTTTCTAATAATCATACGGTAAACAAAGTCCTTATTTCTTAGAGGAGTGTATTTTTTGCACCTTGCAGTTCGATCTTTTCCCAGAGGGGGGAAGTATCCACTGAGAGTGTGCATGTGTGCCTGGGAAAGGAGGAAAATGCAGGAAGGACAAAACCGAAAGCATGCCAAGTAAAGTACAAAAAGGAGAATAAAATAGGTGTTTCTAGGTGTCAAGTTCATGCGGAAATTGTATTTTGGGCAAATGTGTGATTGAATAAATTAATAGTTTTCTCATTCCTTCTTACCATAACTAGGACTATGTATATTTAATTGGATTTTTTTTAAAAGATGAAGGTGAGTTGCCTGAGAGAATGCTAATGTCAGATTCACGCCAGGTACCTGGCATTATCCTTCAAAACACCATCTGTCAAGCTTTCTAGAGATTTATTTTAGAGTCTAACATACGATGACTGTTTAAACACTCAGCAAGGTAAGAGTGTAACTACTTAAGGAAACAAGACTTAATGCACTGGTTGCTGCTGGGTGTAAATAGAAGAGAAATGTATAGAATAGGCAGAATTTTTATTTGGGTGCCAGAAGAACGTGGGATCGTGGTGCAAGGATGTCTGTAATAGTGGATTTCTAGGTTATATCCACGATGAAGCAGTGTTTCCACACTCTGGATTTCTGTTGTTTAGAACGTGATGTGTGCTATCAGCTACATCCACAACGATAGCAGCCAGGTGTTATTTTTATGGTGTCCTAAGCTTTTTTGATTGCCAGTGCATTTTGTATAAAATGCGTAAATGTAGATATGAAGATTTTTGCTTCAGAGTCCAGAGCCTCAAGCATTCACTCTGAAAGTGCTGTGTTGTTTCACGTCGGTTGCTAGAACCTGAGGTTGAGGAGAGACATGCTGCTGTGTGAAACTGCAGAAGGACACACAAATGATAAGCATTCCAGAAAAATGGTTTTGATTTGCCACAGTGGATTTACTTGTAAAGGTAAAAAACCCCCTCCCCGCCTTTTTTCCCCAATAATTTTTTGTTTGTTTGATTTTGTTTGTTTGATTTGGGCTTTTTTGTTTGTGTTTACTTAACCTATATTAAAACTCAGAAATTACTTATGATTTTAATATGTAGGTGTGTGTCCTGCAGGTTGACGTATGTCAGAGGAATACTTGAATTAGTAGCTATTTACCTCTCACCACTGAGGGATGAATAGAAGTCATCCTTAAGGACTGATTTATTTTAGTCCTTACCTGGGTGTGGTAAAACCCACCGAAAAGGGACATTTACTGTGGTAGAGAATTTGCATACTTAGCAAACAACACAAAGAAAGGTGAGGAAAAAGGTACTACTGCTGCTTAAATATAGAAAACGAAGGCATAAAACAATTTCTTGAAAAATCACTGAGGGAATCTGTGGTGGATTGTGACTGTGAACCCTGTCTCCAAATGACTAATTGAGTGCCTTAATTAGAAGATACTTTATTTCCCCCTGGGTCATTATCTGTTTCATATAGAAGTAGATCCTACATGATTATTGCACTATTAGAAAAGTTGGTTATAAGTCATCTATTAGAAGAACTTGTGAATTGTGAGGGGTTGGTGATATTTGCCTCAGACTGTATAAGTTTTTTCAAACTTTAGCAAAATGAACATACTTATTCTGATAATATAGTCCAGTCAGTAAGGACAACAGAAGACCTCTTTAGTTGAACTCTAAATAATAGACAAGCCTCCATTTGTTGGAAAGGGGTTTTCTCTATCAAGTGAACTATTTTGGATACCAAACGGTTATAAGACGTGGAAGAGTCCCAATGTCTCATGGAAAGTTTTAAATTATTTTATTGTAAATTGATTACCAGTAGTTATTTTCTTAGGTAAGATTGTACTGTTTCTATTCAGGAGTTATCCTGATGCTTGGTCAGATAGAAAATGTTAGAAGTGAAGAGCATGTTCTTGAGCAGTGCCTTTTGTACCCCACTTGTGCTTATACTGCAGCACACTCTAGAGAGTTCTCCTCCAGGGAGAAGTGCAGGTGCCTCTGTTCTGGTGCTGCTTCCTGCTTCTGTCTGTTACTTTTGCATGTATGTAAATATTTATTGTTTTGTGTAAGATGTCTGTGATTATGAATATAAAAATAAGTATGTGACTGTAGCTGTGAAGGTGTGGATGACATAGAAAGCTACAACGAACTGGAACTGTTCGGTAGTTCAAAATTTGGTTTATATCAGCATTATATTTAATAAGCTGAAGTGCCAGGTAATTGTCTGTATGCTTTTGTGTACAAGCAAATTATATACATATGTGTTTATATTTGTGTGGCTTTGGAATATCTTGTATTGTTAAAGCCAGCTAAGTGTTTTGTAATGTAAATGTAAAGGAAAAAGACCTGTTGGAAAGAGCTGACCAAAGTAAGAGCATCTCTCCCCATGGAAATATCAGCATTACTTGGGTAATGAGGTAGCTAATTTCTCTCTATAATGACAGTACAATTGACCTCAGAATTTCAGTTGGCATTCTGAAGGCATTGAAAATTGGGCCTTTAATTTTAATCTTGAATTAAGTCTCTAGATTATTCCACATGGCATAGAATGAGTTTGTTAAACCTCCAAGTTGTGTAAATTAGACTCATATAGCTCAGCATCATAAAGCTCCTTGTAGGACGGGACATAATTATTCGAAAGATTAGCCTTTGCACTCAGTGAGCATTAGTACAGTCTTTCATGCAAACCTGCAATAGTTGTTCTAGCTAGTATAAAACTGTTGATGCAAATTAATTTTGTCTTATATTCAGGATTTCAACTAATATATTTGCTTTGTGTGGGTTTTGGATTTCTTTGGACTATTGGAAACTCATTTGCTTTTCATATAGGAAGGCAGATTTAGTTCATGAGTGTGTGTTTCTGTTAAAAACTTGGGATAATAATAAGGTTGCTGTATGAAAATTATTCGTCTTGGAAATATAGTATATGGTAATCATATCCTTAACCCTAAATGTGAAAGGCTGTTGTTCAAGCCTATGACCTGCTAAAATCAGGCCTCTGATACTTTTTAATTTTTATCAAATTTTTCATTGAAAACTACTTGTGAAAATATGCTTACAAATTTATTAATTTACTTGTCTAAACAAGCCTTTGGATTAAAATAAGATTAATGCGAAATGTTTATATAAGTACAGACATTAATATTAATCTATGAACAGTCCCTTTTCTGCTTATTGTTTCTTTTTTCCCTGATGTTTACATCAGGTGAGACGAAATCTGTGTTCATAAAATAGTTGGTATTAATCATAGTTTGCTTTGCTGTCTCAAGAAATGCAGTGTAAATAACTGGTAGATTGACTCAGAAAACACTATAATATTCAGAATGTGTATTTTGGATATCTTGATTTCATTAGAAACTAGATTTATATATTGATCAGTTGGAGCCTTTTCAATAAAAAGTGCAAACTCTAGATGAATACAAGGTACTTATGATTTCTATAAAGTAGTGATGTGCTAGCAGTTCCAGACTTGGTTCAAAGCTCAGCACAGTTAATGGGAATATTTCTGTTGCCATTAGTGGGCTATCAGGCAGTCATTGTAATACAAATATGATCTATTGACTGATATAGCCAATAGACTTGTAATCATGAAAACTGATAGAATATACTGCAGGTGTTAGAACTGACTGCATTTTGCTTTTTGTATTTTTTTTAAAGATGATTTTTTTTTGTCATGATGTGACAACATATTATGTGTTCGTAGCTCGAGGAAGTGCTTTTGTCTCGCAGAATTAATGCAGATAAATCCCAAGTGATAAAC